CATTATAGTTTACGAAATCTTTATTTCTGTTAGTAGAGTAAAGGAATCCTTTAACAATATGTATGAGCCCCTTGGGAGTCAAGTCGTTTCTCACATATATTTTAGAGGTAGGTACTCTTACCAATTGTATCCCCGTACAATTTCCTTAAATAGCTCTATGTCAAATAGTCTCATGGTAGTCAGGTCGATCATATTGGCATAGTTGAGTTCAGCCATCATGATAGCAAAGAACTTATTAAATTTTATACTCCCCGGGTAGTCTACGTGTCTAGTGTAAAATTGAATAATTCTTTCAACCCATGCATCTAATGCAATAAATAATTTTAACATATTCTCGAACTATAAGTCTCCTGGTTGTCAGGCCGCTCCTTATAAACGAGAAATAAATAAAATTATTTACTTTGATGGATAGCTTTACAATAAAATATCTTATATTTTATTATTTCAGAACTCAATTTTAGTAAGAGGGAATAGTTATCAAAATAACTTTTAATAACATGATGATCAAATCTTTTATAGCACATGAATTTAGGTCAAGTTGTCTACATGCTTAGTCCTAAATTAATTTACATCACATGTAATAAATAATTCAAAATTATGTAATGAACAAGCACGTGACATAAAAACGAAATTCAACATCTTCTAACATTTTTATCTTATATATAACATAAAATAATTCATGCTAGAAAATTATTATTAATTAACATCTCATGAACTAATAACAATTAAAATAATAGTAGAATCCAATAACCTATTATAGATACAGTGGTATCTAATACAAAAACTTCAAATTTATGTTACGAACTATCTCAATAGTTTAACTTATATGTATATATATTTTATTCGTAATAAAGTTATATCAATCCATATGCATCCAAATAATTTGATTATTGCACAAGACATGTGTCTCTTCAAATCATAATCTTAAAATATTTTGTAAATAAATTTTAGACACAATAAACCACGGCTCTGATACCACTGTGAGGATTGCGTATAGGTGTTCATGTAGCGGAAGACAATAACAATCTTAGGCAGATCTTTTTGTGTTTAAAATTTATTTACATGTCGAAGATCGGATATGAGACGTACCTGGTGAAGAGAGTCTCGTTTCAAAATTTCTTCAATAGTGCGAAGAATCTATGCATATCCACACCGAGACCGATCTTTTCTATCAACTCTTTGATCAATGAAACCCGCGAACAAATTGAACGAAATATTGTGTTGAAATTTTCACAAAAATCTCAACTCAATGTTAGAAGAACAAGAAACACTTTTCTTGTAATTATATTTTCTCTCTTGGCTTTGTATTGTATTCTCACTTTCACAAAGTAATTTTCTTCTAAGAATTAGTCCAGCAAATTTTCTCCATTACCCATTATATATAGCATCACCTATCAACCCTTTTCCTATTTGGTTGAGGTAATAAGGTAAAAATTTATTCTAAAATAAACTTACATGGAAAATTTGAGATTCCAATCATCGGTTAGCGTGACCATTGAATCTTTACGGACTTTCCATAAGTCCAATTCCTAATTGCACTTTCTCAAGTATTATGAATACTTTTCCATTAAAAGAACTCAAATTCCACATTCGTTCACGTTGCCGACGTCTCTTTTAAATCCAATACCAAATTGGTTTTACATAATAAGACTATTACTATTTATATACATTACGTAAATAAATAATAATTATGAATACTAAATATATATCACATATATATTTCAACTAAGAGATATATTTTAACTTTCTATTTTAAATAGAAACTTCAATTTGTTCACAATATTAATTATATCATCTGTGCTAGCAAAGAATGTAATAATATTTTATTTGGACTAACTAACTAAATTTATTTGACTAATTAAATTCTTTAATTTAATTAACAAATAATAAAGTAATTAATCCTTTAGCAAAGATCAGAACACTCGTTAGTGTGCGGCCCCATAGGTTCAGTACTAAACCGGTAGTAAATTGACCACATCAATATACTAATCAAGGGTGGCGTCTAGCAACACTCCTTAACGACCGGATAGCATGAAGTATACAATTTACTCTCAAGAACCAGTAGAAGAA